ACTTTTCAAATGCTCTGTTCATAGCTTTAACTAGTCATTTTATCCCTGTTTCTCTTTTCTACCTTCCTTCCCGGAATAACTCCAAAGTAGACATGTATGTCTGTACCAAGAATCATCTCCCTGACTCCCTTAGGCCTCTTGACCTTCTCCGGTACACGTATCAGACACGAGATGAACTCAAGCTTGTCTCTGTTTAAATAGGCAAGATCAGCTTTGTTCAGAAAGCCATCTGATAAAAATGGACACATTTATGGGCACTGCTTTCATTGCTTTGCTTACTTTTAAGTTGTTATGAAAGCCGTGTCCCAGAGTGACACTAGAAGACTATGTCCTAATGAGGGCCAGCTCTCTGAGTCAGTCGTGGCCTCATTTGGAGTTAGAGGTGTGGGTTTCAGTCAGTATTTTGGTATATCCTGAAAAGCCCTCAAGTTAATTCAGAAATTGGTGGTAAAATGAGACTACATGGTAGGAAATGTTGTGCAGATGATAAGTTCTGCTGCTGGAAGACAGCTTCCTCAGTGAAACATGAAAACATTTCTTCTCTGGCTTGTAGCATGTGACTTTCTAAGAAACTAGTTCTTGAAGCTCGTCTCTTTAAGACTATGGAATCAAGTTTTTTGCCCTAAACATTTTACTTCCCTTCCTTTTCAATGGGTGGTGGCAAAGTAGGATCACAAACATATAAAACAGCCTCACTGAAAGCACTGCTGGCAAGTCAGGCTGCGATTGACACGAGCATCTTCTTTACCCCAGACAGTTTTAACATTTGAGAAGGATGTGTTTCGTCTATCCCGGAAAACTGCACTGAAGCATCTGTTGATTTCATTAAAACACAAAGATTCATAGGTTATGAGGCCAGAAAGAGTCATTACGATAATCTAGGCTGATTTGCTATGTAATTAATTCTTGTCTCACTATGTCTTTTAGAGAAAACAAGACATTATTTTAATTTAAAGTTTGCCAGTAGCAGAAAACACACCATAACCTGTAGTAAATTATTTCAATAGCAAATTACCCTCATGTAAAAATAAGTCATAATATTTTAAAATGTGAATTTCTCTAACTTCAATTTCTAGCCCCCGGATCCCATTATTCCTTTGTCACATGGATTGAAGAGCTCTCTATTGCCAAATTCCATTTTCTGCACAGGTACTCGTAGATTGTAATCGTATCACCCTTTAACCTGTACCTATTAAACAGACTGAATTTGAATGTTTTTCACTATGGGACATACATTCCAGTCATTTAATTATATTCCCTTTTCTCATTCTTGAACCTTTGGTTTAACAATTGAACTGTGGATATATCAGAAGCTGCCTTCACATTTCATTGCCCAAGCCAGAGATGCTCTTGTTTCTGTATTCCTGCTCAGGATTCACCTTGGTTTTATACCCAAGGATTATTTTTATTCTTTTGTTTATAGTGCTGAGATGTACCTGATTATACATCAAGATCTTGATGCCCAAATGTGGCTGTCGATACCTCAAGTCAGCTACGTGAACACCAGCACTTTTTCTTTAAACACAGGTGCCTTTTAGATTTCTTAAGCTAGGTTGTGGCTTGGGTTTTTGTAAAGAAAATAATGTAGAACAATAAACACTTGAATAATAGATATTCAGACTGGGGGGGGGAAATCTGTTTCTTTGAAAAGATTGAATTCAGAACTCTTGTTTCTATTCAAGACCCTTTCTCTTCTCTTCCCCAAGTCTTCCTTTGTGCTTGCGTTCTTGGTCCTTTCAAACTTGCTCTCAGATCCTCCATTGTTAGTGACTTTCTGGGTTACAATTAACTCCATATAATTTTCTGTAGGTCCTTTGAAAGTCTTCTGTCTTGAGGATTCTCCAGCTGTGGTACTGGTATAGATGATGAAATACAAGATAGTCTGCAGCAAACCCCAAATAAACCTGGAGGCAGACCCTCTGCGTTTCCCTGGAAGAGATGAGAATTATTACTCAAGTATCAAATATGTGAAAGGGGGAGATATAACCTGTATGTGGCCCAGCTGAGAGCTGGAAGCTGCTTACGTGTATGTGATCATATTCGTTCTACCGCCAACCTGTAGAGGTTGTGGAAAGCAGATCACCAAGTCATAGCTAGATACAAGCCAGCACCAGCCATCAGTCATATGTAGGGCATTGTGCTACCTGTCTGCTCCTCTCATGGGGAAAGGCTGGGTGAAGGTACGCTTTAGAGGAGTGTTGGTTTAAGCAACTGTCAGTAGTATCCTATAAGTGCAGTTCTCCTATGTTAGGATCATTAAAGTCACAGTTCATTCAGGCCTGGTATTCTCTTGCTCACTAAAGCAACTCCATAATGGGGTGAAATCAAAAATGTAGCATTGTGCCAAAGTCATACTAGTCAGCAAGTCCCATATGTACGTGCTGGCAGAAGGGCTCTGTCCACAGGAGCCCATTTCCAATTACCCACTTTTCCAGACTGTCCCTGCAGCGGGACAAGAAAGTAGACCGTGTACAACCTACTACACATGTAGACTCATTAAGCACATGGGAAAAGCCCTAGTGGCCCTGAAGAACAGTCAATTCATTTACCCAGTATTCTGCCTGCAATACTGGAAGGTTCAAGTGCTGTCAGATTAGGATTATTAGAAGGTCCATCCTTTCTTTTTCCCTTTAATATCAGTTCATGGACTTCCTGTCTATTTATCTTTCTGGTTCTTTTTGTGCCTGCTGATGCTCTCTGCTTCCACGACCTCCTGTGGCAGCAAGTTCCAGAAGTTCACTACCATTTGTGTAAATAAGTACTTCTAAAAATCCATTTTAAGCTGGTACCCTACAGGTTCCAGCGAATGCCTCTAGTTCTATTATTGCTGAATTTGGCAAAGAGCAGTTCTACGTTAACCTTCTCCATCTTCAATCATATTTTTTTCTCAGAGCCCTGGCCTTTTAAGGGTATCCTCCTAAAGCATCCTGCTCCATCCTCTTGATTGTTCTATTTATTTTCCTCTGTACCTTGAGAGGCAGAGACAGGACTGCATGCAGTGCTCAGAACTAGTGTTTGTGGAAAGAACGGGGCTTGCTGCACACACAAAGTATGCGCAGAAGTCCTGGGCCATCCAGATAGCTGCGTGTACATGGAGTACACCCCACGCTTCTTACGTGTGCCTTTCCTGGATACAAAGGTAGCTGCAGCTCATCTCTGCTGTGGTGCTGAGGTGCTCCTCAGTGCCTGGCAAGAGCGGGGAGGCTGTAGTGCACAGCCTTGCTGACTCACTGGAAGGAGGTGTATGGTCAGTCTAGCCAGAGCATTTGACATGGTTAATCCATAGAATGAAACTACTATGGTCCCACAAATGGAAAATGTATTTTATTCTTGTTGCAGATATTAATAGACTTGGTGTTTTTGAAGTCTCCGAGGGCAGAGTGCTTTATTGGGAATTGGAGCAAAACAAGCTATTGTGGGTCAATACTGTCCTCTGCTGGGAGGAATTACAGCTTTGGTCCATGTCTCAAATAGGAGTTAACAACTGGCTTCTCCTTTTACTCTGATGTAGGGTGATTTGCCTTCGCAACAGGAAAATCTGATGCTGTTCTGGCTGCACTGGGGAAGTTTTCCTTTAATACTTAGTGAAAGCTGGAAATTCTTTGCTTGCTACAAATGAGTTGAATCGTGATTTAATTTATTTTTCATCCCGAGGTTACCTGCTGTAGAAGCTTATCCCTTATTTGCTTCCTCGTTTGCCTTTTAATAGTTACTGCACACTCATTTCTGTGACTTTCCTTTCCCATTTGTAGAATTAACAATACATATCTCCTTTCCCTTCTTTTTTCGTAGCAAATTGCTGACAACTCATCCTGCTAGCATTCTGAAAGCAGAAATCAAATGTGTGTGTATGTATATGCTGTATGTAATAGATACAAAGTAGTTTAAAGTAATAACTCCTTAGAAGAAATCAGAGTCGTCAGTAGTGTTGCAGAACATGAATTCAATCAAAATTGTGCCGGTTGCAGAAATGTTTTTGCTTGCTGTATGTGCCAGCTCTGGGTTTAGGAAGCACAGAAGGTGGTTGAGAGGAAGTACAGTTTACAAATACTTCAGTTTTGTGCCTTCTCCAGTCCCTGCCTCCGTGAGAATGGCACGGGGCAGAGAGGAGTCCACTTTGGAAGGAATTAATTCCGTACCTGTGAGAAAGAGAAGGGCAGGAGGTCTGGACTCCCAAGCAAGCTGGGTACGCTCACATACGAATTGTCTGTTTGGGACTCTTCTCCAGGCTAATTTCTGTCCATGTAGCAACACGGAGTGCAGAGTTCTGGTCCTTAACCCAGAGGGAGTAAGAGTCCAGGCACTGAATATGTATAAGCTTTCATGTGTTAACACAGAGACTGTAGGTTTCTTGACGCAAGGGTAGATATGCAGATATCTTCATAGCAAGTTTGTGCCTGTAGTGATCTAAGATTTCTCAGACAGAGAAATTTTAAGTCTTTGTTTATTTTTTCTTGTAGCCCTTTAGGAGCCACAGGGCAATCACCAACAGTTCACAGCAACTCACTTATTCTTTTGCATCTCCCTCCTGGTAGTTAAGTGGGCTTATAGGAATAATAGAGAAATGACAGTGGTAGTACAGAGTTCCCTGCTGTGGCTAGCAGAGATGGACATAGAGGTTATACTTTGTTATGTATTTTGTATGGGATTTATGCAAATATAACAGCATGATACCAGACACACACTGTATCTTATGTACGAAAGCTTTTACAGCTGAGTGGGACTGTGGTAGAGTTAATTGTTCTTGCTGTCCTTCAGTTAAGTGTTCTCTTCTGCCTGCTTATCTGATCTATAGTCATTGCAAAGTACCCGTTGCTGTCATTTCTATACACGCTCCTGGTTGTGCTCTCTCCCTCTGTCATCATGTCTGACTCTTGCATGGTCTCCTTTCTGCTCCCCACTGCCTTTTGGGAGAAGTTTATCTCCCGTGGCTGAAAGTAATTGGGGTATTTGTACTGTATGCAGGATTGATGTATGATATTTTTCCTTGTGTCTGGCAGGTTGTTTATAAGAATAACGACATTCGTCTGGAGCTGTCTCGCTTGGCACGGATTGGTGATACTAAGATGAAGATCTACGGGGAAGTGAAATTCGTATGTGAGAATGTGGCTACACTGGATCCCATCAGCTTTGAGACACCTGAGGCCTATATTAGTCTGCCGAAATGGAATACCAAAAGGATGGGCTCCATCTCATTTGATTTCCGAACCACTGAACCCAATGGACTGATCCTTTTCACCCATGGCAAGCCTCAGGAGAGGAAAGATGCCAGGAGCCAGAAGAATACAAAGGTAGACTTCTTTGCAGTTGAGCTTCTAGATGGGAACCTCTACTTGCTGCTGGACATGGGATCTGGGACCATTAAAGTCAAGGCCACCCAGAAGAAAGCCAATGATGGAGAGTGGTATCATGTGGATATTCAACGAGATGGAAGATCAGGTAGAGTGATGACTTCCTTAAGTAGATTAATCTTTCAGATCCGGACCTAGGGCTGCGTATTAATTCTCAGAACATTCAAAACCTGTTAGATATGAGTCACCTTCTTACAAAAACTTAGTGTTCCTCCAGTGATGTTTATCCAGCAAAGCAAAGATGTGAATGGCTAGGTTTTCATTAAATGTTTAGTGTGAACTTTGGATAGCACATCACAGAGGCAGTCTATTAATTTTTTATTCACAATCTTCAGATATTCTAGACCTATCTTTGCAATTACATACATAATTTCAGTGAAGACTTCTTTGTAGGCCATGGTAAGGTTTAAGTTCCTTCAGAACCATTATTATGTAGTTCTTGGTTTGAGAAATTCTCACTGATCTACTTTGGGTTTCTGTTCAAAAAGAAGCTTAGTAGGAACCAAATGAAAACTTACTGCTCTGACCTAATATTACCATCTCCTCCTGGATCTTGTGTCTTTAAAGAGCAGGGGTTTGGGATAGTGTCATGAGGAAAATAAAAGTAATGGCCACAACCAGTCACAAAAGTATGGTGACAAATCAACATTTTCATCCTATTCTGTTTCCTTTAGTATCTTGAAGTTTTCAGTTAGGTTTTGTTACTCTCTCTCAGATGCCAAATTCTGGTCTTAATATCTGAGTCAGGTCCTTTTTTTCCTCACAGCTGCTTCTTTTTAAAAATGTGTTTTAGTGTATTTCTAATGATATACCTACCATGCAATTACCAAGAGGTATTTTTGGTTTTGTTTCTAGTGCAGGATATCTAGCTAGCATACTCATGATGTACTCCGAAATTGTCTAAGGAAACAAAATGATCAAATACTGTACCTTCACCTTGAGAATATGCAAACAATTGTGCTTGAATTCTTCCTGAACTATTGGCATCGCAAAGCCTGGCCGTATATCCTTTCAAAGGGAATTTTGCTTACATTTGGAAGTGGATTTGGGATTTGTCTGGTGATCTGCAGATGATAGCTTTAGGTCCCTATTTTATGTTTCCAGTTGCTGAATGCCATCAGTAGAGAGAACAGTACTAAAATTTGTTTCCCTTGCGTTTTCAAAAGAGCTGACTTTTTAGATACCACGCAAAGTCTAGCTGTTTGAACAAGTCTTTGCCTGAAGCTAGTCTTTTCTTTGATGATGCGAGGAGTTTCTTTGTATTGGGCATGGTGCTCCACTAGGACTTAATATGTGTGGTTATATGTTGCTATCTACTAAAGACATCGATAGGAACATTTTATAAAGGAAGCCATAAATAAATAAATGGAGCTTTGATTTCTTTAGAGTTGCTAAAATTTAATTAACTTCCAAGGATAAACTCAATTAGTTGCATTCAGTGCTGCCTTCAGTTTTTCTTGCTCACTGGGGGACTGTCTGGTCCCTGGAGAGGCAGCTGCAGAAGGAGAAGAAACAGAAATGACACTAACCTCTCTGCTAAGAATGTCTGTAAAAACCTAGGAAGAGGAACGCGTGTTCATTTGGACGAGGAGGGTGTGACAGACAGCATTGCTACTTGGTTGATGGAGACTGTAAGACCGACTTGTTGGTTGCTCGGCAGGGAGGTTTGTGATGTTCTGGACACTGATTAGAGAGAACAGATTTTGAATTAAGAGCTTTGCTCGACAAGAATGAACACATTTGTATGTTCTTGTCTTCTCTTTTTCTGTTGATGTTTTTTAATTGCATTTTCTGCTGACGACAAGTACTGGGTTAATGGTCCTACGACTGATGTCTTGTCTCCTCAGAAAACTAGGATACTGGCATTGATTTCTTGACACCATACCTTTAGGAAGCATCAACCACTCTTATCCAGTAGTACTTTTGGTAAATGTGAGAAGGAAATTCAGGATCTCTTCTTGTTTAGTCCTTAGCTTTTCTCCCATGTGCGGACCAGAGGACGGTTGCACCTTGAAGATGTGGGTTTTTTGTGTGTTTTTTTTTTTTTTTAACTAAAACTGCCAGGCCTTTATTAGGTGTCATCTCTCCCCTTCTTCTTCCTATTTCTGTAACAGTCCAAAACTTCACGCTCTACTGAGCTTAGTAAAGTAGCCAAAAAATCCAAATATTCACTACTGCAATGTACTAAGGCAGGAGCGCAAATGCTGGGGAAGCATGGCAGTCATGCTGGAATAACCTGTGGCACCTCTAGACCCCTTAGTCTTTGGTCTGTGTTGGCTGCCAGAGCAACAAAAGCTGTTTTTTCTCTCTACTCTGACAGAAGCTGACAGCGTGGACATGGACACCAAGCGTCCTGTAACCTTTCTGTCCTTAGGGAAAGTGTCCACAAAACCTGCCACAGTTTGTAGCTGGGGAAGACCGGGCGCATTACACAAAGCAATGCTTTTGTCTGGTCATCAGCTACAAAACACATGTGTTGTCCCACCCTCTCAGACACTAAAAATCTTACTGGAAGGTTTTGTCTACAGTTGCATCAGTGCACTGCTTTGTATGCCAGCTCTGCCCTCAGTAGCTGGGGTCTTTTGGTCTGTTTGTTCTTTAGCCCTGCATGAAGTGCCTAAGGGACTGGGAAAGAGATGCTTAGATGCTTCTGATTTCTCAAGATGGGGTTTGATTTACCTAAACAGAGTTGCAAATGTGGCATTTGGAAAAAAAAAGGATGTCAGCTCATTTGACTGCTCCTTCTTAGGGTCAATTCAGAATTTCTCCATTTCAGCAGCTTGGTCTTAAAGTGCTGTGCATCCAAGCTAGTACCATCTCCTTACAGGAATAGTTGCAGGGTACAAAACACTGGAAGAAAGTTAGGCTGCTGTCTAGCCTGTTCCCTTTCATCATCTCATGCTCTTTCTCCAGGTTTTACCCTTTTCCTTGGTATATCCAGTATGTCTTTTCTTTTGGGGGGTTTCTTTACCTTTGTGGCTCTTGCAGGTGGTAGTTTTCTCCATAGTAGCAGCTGTCTGGAGCTCAGCCCTCCAGTATTTTGGTTTGTTCTAGTCTTTTGAGTAATATGTACTCCACATGCTGCTTTTGAGGAGCAACAGCAGAGATGCTGGAAGGGAGGCTGTGATCCTGGGGCTCTGTGACACACGCTGCCTTTACGACTGTAGGTGTATTGTCACATCTTCTCTTTTCTTACTTTGTAAAAGGGAAAATGTCTGTGGTGCCGCAGCTTGTTTTTACAAAATGATTCATCAAATAACCTTGGTTCTCTTTGAGCCTTTAATTTGTAACGCCTCTGTTGCTTCTGGCACTCTGCTGCCTCTGACATTATTCCTAAATTATTACTGAACATCACACACATGAAATACCTTGTGTCTGTGTCATATGTGCTGTTCTCTAAGAAGACACCTATTACAACTGAAGAAAAAGCACGTGTACACGACTGCACTTTTTCCCAGAGACACAAAATAGAGCTAACTCTATTAACTAAACTCTCCCACCTTATCGTAGGGGTGTACGATAAAAATGCAATGATGTGGAATTAATCTTAAAGCTTGGATAGTTGTCTCTGAGGACAGACTATCTTAATGACAAGACAATTGGATGCAATGATTTATAGCTAGGGAGAGTGAATTGCTGATTTTTAGCTGAGTGTCTGGTGGGCAGATGTCCCTATCACAAAAGCTGCTGAATGCTCTTCTGAAGAGTACGCTGCTCTGGGATGTGAGACACTTGCGTTATGTTCCCTGTTTCTCTTTAGATGCACTGTCTGACCTTAAACAAGTGACTTCACTTCTCTGCACCTATTTCATGCGTTCTGATTATATTTCTGTATTATATGTTCTGATTATTTTATGAGCTGGGACAATTTCTTGACATATATAGGAATGGCCTCAGTGCAATATGCCCACAACTTGCTTGGAGCATATGGAAGCTACTACAGTTTTAATCACAACTGTTCTTCAGAGATAACCTTTATCTTTCTCTACCTCGATTTTCCTGTTCATAAAATGGAAGTTAGAATACTTAACTTTCTTTGTAAAACCATAGAATAATTTATTTTGGAACAAACTTCTGGAGATTTCTAGTCCAAACTCTGCCAAAATCTAGGCTTTCTTCAGGGTAATGTCTAGTTGTGTTTTGAATGCCTTCAGGATGGTGATTCCAGAACCTCTCTGAGGTTTCTGTTCCCATGTTTGACCACCCTCATGGTGAAAAATCCTTCTTATGGAATTGGAGTTTCCCCTGCTGCAGCCTGTGATTGCTGTCTCTTGTCACTGGAAATACTTTTGTCCACTATATCCCCAGGTCCTTTTCTGCAGAGTTGCTCCTTAGTCAGCTCATCTCCAGCCTGTACTTATGTGTGAGGTTATTCTGCCCCACGTGTAGGACTTTGTATTTGTTGTTGTTGGTTCACATCAAATCTTTCTATCGGTCCTTTGCTCCACCCTGTAAAGGGTTCTCTGAATGGCAGCCCTGTGCTTCTTCCACTGCACATCCCCAATTTGATGTCATCTACAAACTTGATGAGAGTCTGTTAGTTCCATCATCCAAGTCCAGCTTTGGAGGTACTGGTGAAATGTTTTCTGGAAGAGCTGCGTAGTGTGAATTGATACGCTTTTACTAATCTTTTTTCTCTCCAGTCCTGATACCATCAAATTCCTGTATGTCCTCAGTAAGTCTGTGCTTTGCTGTTTGAATACCACTGAATAATGCTCAGTTTTTACATGTTATTATTTACCCATTGCATTGTTGTGCTTGTGACCTTATAATGCAAGTTGGGATACAGTCACGTGATGTTCAGTCACTGCATGGAAGTACTTATGGCCTGTGGTTCAAGAGGAGAGGGAGCTGTGTGGGAGACACTGTCTTCACTCTCCTGCGCTGAACCTTAAACCTCACTCAGATACTGGAAAAAAATGACTGAGGCTGTTAGTGAAAGTGTTGATGTCTCCTTTTTTCTCCTCATTTAGGTACTATATCAGTGAACAGCAGACGCACCCCTTTCACTGCTAGTGGGGAGAGTGAGATTCTAGATCTGGAAGGCGACATGTACCTCGGTGGGCTGCCTGAGAACCGGGCGGGTCTCATCCTTCCCACAGAGCTCTGGACAGCGATGCTGAACTATGGCTACGTCGGCTGTATCCGAGACTTGTTCATCGATGGACGAAGTAAGAACATCCGGCAGCTGGCAGAGGCACAGAATGCTGCAGGAGTCAAGTCCTCCTGCTCCCGCCTCAGCACCAAGCAGTGCGACAGCTACCCATGTAAGAATAATGCAGTCTGCAAGGACGGCTGGAACCGCTTCATTTGTGACTGCACCGGCACCGGCTACTGGGGTAGAACATGTGAGCGAGGTAAGCTGTAACTGTTTTCTGACCTCAGTTACACAGATGTGAAGGTGTGCAGGAGAACTAGAGCAAAATCTAGTGCTTCCATGAGACTTTCCCCTGCCCTTGTTGGTCTTCCCAATGCTAAGTTCCAGTCCCTGCACTAGAAGAGGTTTCCTCTCTGATCGTTTCCTTCTAGTCTTTTCCACCTTCATTTCATGAGCTTACCTTCTTCATCTGCCACTGCACTCCTTAAACATTCTTGAAGACCTTGTCTTCAGGTTCCAGAGTTTCTTTGACTGAGTATGGTTTGTCTTCTAAGGCAGAAAATGCTGCTTCACGTGAGAAGTCTCAGGCAAATTACTGGAAACAGTTCCAAGTATGAACTTGAGTTATGGGGATTTTTCTTGCATAGGACAGATCTATCTAGTTGTCTTCTTTTTTTGCATGATAGGATTGCCCCGATGGCTGTTTATGGGTAAAGCCAGCTAATGAAATACTACTAACAGCAAAATGTCTCCAAGTTCACCTCTGATGAGGCAAATCTGTAGGAGATGGTGGGAGATTCTGTGCATCTTATCCTCACTCATTCCAACTGGTGATTTAAAGATGTGATTGGAGATAGGAGGGACAAGTAATGCTGGTACGGGCAAGAAAAATGTTTGTGTTCTAGGCCATGTGGAAAGGAATTTACTAATGTAAGATATCTGAGCTATATATTTCTCAAATACCAGGTGGTTCCATTAATTGTTTTTATCCTTATTGTGCTGGTACCACCCTCAGAACGAGGTAGGTCAGTGATTTAAAAAAAAAAATAAAATGCTGGGGCTAAGATCACTTAGAAAAGAAAATACTCCCTAAAGGATGTTTTCTTATATTGCAACTAATCTTTCTGTTAATATTTGGCTATTAGTGTTGCATTCTGGCTGAACTGCACTCACAGCACACCCAAGAATTACCTGTAAACTGTTAGCAGAGTCTTAGGGCTTTCAGCCCCTTCTTTCTATTACCTTACTTGGCACCATTGCCTAATGGTTATAGCATGTGTCTTAGAATTGGAAATTTGGATGTTTTTGAGCTTCTGCCATAAATATTTGAGAAGCTCCTTTCCTACTCAGTGTCCCCCCTATGCATTTTTTAATGTAGCTCATAGTACTATACCACTTATGAGAAAGAATGCAAAAGTTAGGTACAGTGCATAAAATATTAGGCAGAATTGAGATTTGTAATTCATTCACTCTCCAGGGGATTTTCTTCTTTGCGGGAAGTTTTTGTTAATGACCAAAACTCTTCCTATAGACTGGATGGAGTTTTTAGGTTTTACAGCACAAGATCTATAATCATTCATTAAGCCTCTTGCAGACAGCACTTTGTAGCATGCTGCTCTAAGCAGCAATAGTAGTTAATTGCCAGTGGTCCTTAAAACAGCTGAAGCATCAACACTGCCATCCGTGCCATGAGGACATGGGTGAAAATGAAAGATTCATGGGCATTGGCTATGCCAATGGCAGCTCAGCAGTTCTCTCTTATAGACTACATTGGAATAGAAGATTCTGAAAAATATCAGAGGTTTTCTCAACCACAGCCTTCGGAATTGTTTTGGCCAATTGTTGTGTGATTAGGGTTTGGACACGTGTGATGAAAGCTACCATAAATGCATTGTTCCCCCACAAAATTGCAGTTATACTTGCCCTTAGTCCTTATTTAGTATTAGGAGTGACCAGCTCTGTGATTTAGGACTTTCTGGACTTTGTCTCATGTCTCTCTCCTGACATGACATAAAGAACAGGTTTCATCTTATGTACCTTTAGATATCTATGGTGTTGGCTTTTACTCCTTTTATTACCAGTGAAAAGAAACTAGTAGGTTAAGAGCATGTAAGCATTTTGATTTAGGATAAATGAATCTCAGGTCTGTCCTGAGATCCATAACTTGGCCGTGGTCTGGCCAGCATCAGTATGAATAGGAAAGGTACACATATGAATGCATGTCTACCAGCATAGGAACTTGAGGTCCTAATAAATATGTGTTAGAATCCGGGCGTATTTAAGGTTATCAAAACAATGATGCTGTAGTTCAGGACAACATAAAAGATGTAGGCAGAGGTCTTAATCCTGAGAAACTCATTTTGTCTGTAACTAGAAACCACAAACCCCTTACTGGTTTAGGCCCAGCATCAGGCAAAACGTGGCTTTCATGCCTGAGGTTCCTTGGCAATGCAAGAAGCAGCTTACAGGGAATAAATGTTTGTAGACTGCATAGATAAAAAAAGTTGCGCAGATTGAAGTATATTTGACTCCACAACACTTATTGTGGTGTTACATAGCAGCCAGATTTCTCTGATACAAATACTTGATATCAGGCAACTGTGTTAGTGCACAGTGATTTTTGCCTCCAAGAACAAAAGTATTGCAGGCTGCCAATGATATTTTTCATTCTCGTGGTCTGACACCCAAAGGTCATTGCAAGTCCTGACTTCAGCTGGCCTGTGTTTCAAGTACTGTTGGAAGGAGAAAAGTTGAGACAGAGACTGGGAAGGGAATCAAAGTGAGAGATGCTGCCATGCCACAGTGGCACTTCTGCTTAGTGACTAAAGAGCTGCCATGGGACGGGGGAGCCAGGCTGGTGTGTAAGGGGAGGAATGAAGAAGGAGCAGGCTAGCTCTTTTAATAAGAGACAGCTATTGACCCTCTCTTCCAGTCTACTATCTGTTACCTGAGAAGGGCAGTTTCACTCACTTTACTGAGTTCTGAGCCTTCTGGCCTGTTAAAAGAGAGGAGTGTAACTCTTGGAAGGGGTCTGCAGCCCAAGATGTACGGTAAAGGGTTAAGGGGCAGGGGAGCCTAGAATAAAGAATCTTCTATGCCTGTTGGCTACCGGGAAAATCACTCTTTATCAGAAAGCAAAGCGCATACTTAATATTTAGTTAAGGTACTAAAAATACAAGACATGTACAACTCCAAGGAGAGAAGCAGGTGATTCATTTGTTGTTGATGGTAAAGTCTATCTCCCATGTCCACGTATAGCATTTCTACATTTATAATGCTGTATTTCTCGTACATTTTATGCTTTGCCATATAAAGGACTGTTACACATCTAAAAGGGACTAGAAAAGGAAATTGATTGTTTCATAGTTAGAAAAGAGGTTTGGGTTCTTTTTATTCATGGTGAAACAATACAAATACACAGCATTCAGTATGTCACCTATATCTAAAGCCTGTGGGAGTTTGTCCTGTCAGTGAAGTAACACCTCTGTGTAGTCAGCCAGTTACACTGGACGCATCATAGACTTTGGTTGCAGTGATCTGCTCAGGCAGTACTTCCGTGCAGGTGGAGAGGCCTTGCTGTGGCTGCAGTTTGATAGGGCACAGAACAGGGAACAGTTGCCAAGGCCTCAAATTGATTTGTACAATTCCGGTGTCTAATCGGTCATTCAGTACTGGCAGCGATGTAAGCAGACAAAGGTGTTTTCAGTCTTCTGTCAGTGTTGTAGCTTCTAAGGGTAATGTAGTCCCTCCTTGGGGTAACTGAAATTGCATAGAAGAGATGGGATGAGACATGGCAAAGGCCAGTTCATGTCTGACATGCCTCCCACCCACAGGGGGAGTATGGCAGGGAGTCAAAAGTGCTGGTAGGACTGCTCTGGTTCTTTTGGTAACCGTGTTTTTCCTGTACTGACTAGGAATGAATATTCTTGGGAGACAGGTCATGAAGGCTTCTATCAGGTATACTTACCTTCAAGTCCTTGCCGTAGAAACTAGAATAAATGGATGCTAGTGTTTGATCCTCAGAAAGGCTGGGACAAAGTACTTCACCTAAACAAGACTCTCCTCAGCCTTCATAAATTTCACTTGAGATTGTGTTTCTCTCCAGCTCTGTAGCCAGTGGCAGGTGACACAGAAGGGTGAGGAGATGAAAGTGCAGTGGGATTCCTGGGCCTGAAGTGCTCAGTGCCAGGCTGTGGTGCTAAGCAAAGGCAGCAGCAAATGCTGGCAATTAGCGATACGTGGTCCCCATTTCACACCTTCCACCAGAGTCTGTGCTGACCAGGTAACACAACTGTTAGTTATTTGTTTTCTTACATCCTTGAGATTCCCATTCTCTATCATTTTTCCATAATGGTTCTCTACTACCCAGTCTAACTCAGCGTGACAATGCTGGAAATCATATGTGAGAAGAGCCTTTTTGAGCCACTGTTACAATTAAGGAGCTGCTATAAACATAGCATCATTTGGATGAGTTTCTGAAACTCCAGAGATTCCACAGTAGCTGTTGAAAGGGAGCAGTGGTGTGGCTGTCCACCAAGCTAGGAAATAAGACTGCTGGCTTTGCAAGTGGCATGAACTCAATTAAAGTAGTATTGTGACCTCCTTTAGATGCCTTGGGTAAGTATTCTAAGATTAAATATGTAGAAGCCTGGCAATGGGGACCTGTGCTAAATGTGTAAGTTCCCTGTGCAGTCAGTGGAGGGAGGTGGTTGCTTCTCGGGAGAAATTTAAAGCAATAACACGATCTTGTTTCCTTTTGTTGATTTCCCTGTCTCCTTTTATTGATTATGTGGAGATTCTGGTCTGATAATTCAGTATTGCTGCACTCCAGAAGGTAAGTATCTGCTGCAGAGGAATTGACGGTGCCAAACTGCCAAGGCTACTAGGCTGACAAAAAAGAGAATATCTTGTTTGGGGTGGGGGCATAAAGCAAAATACTAGAAAAGAAGCTAACAGACAGGACACAATCCCTTTGCAAGTGATGCTCCGTGTGCCTTGTAATCTGGTAACGATCTTGCCTCCCCCTGCTCCCTGAGCTCTCCTGCACTCTTGTTACGTCTGATTAGAGTATGTATGGTGGAGAGCAAGATTTAATCGTGCCAGAAAGACTCCTAGACTGAAAGGCAGTTTTTGGGTGTCTCTGAGATTAATGGCAGGCACAGCAAAGTGGATTTGTCATGGAAGTTATGATTGCAAGGAGATATTGAGGCTCTGTACTGGGGTTGCTACGTCTTGGGTTGTGGTGTGTTGGGCATTAGG